CAAGGCCCCAACCCCGACCTGGGCCTCGACCACCCGACCGGCCCAGCCCACCAACCACCGCCCCGGGGTCACCTCTACTCCCTGTTCCTCCGACCGGGGTCGCAACAGGGGCGAGCCCCGTCGGACCCGTTCACCGGCGTCCGCAAGGGGATAAGGTCCCCGGCTCTCTCTTCCTCCCCTGCTCCACTCATTCCCCACGTCTCCCCTCTCTCGCCTCCCAGATCCACGCGCTCCTCCCCCTCTCTGTCTCGCTCGCCCGCCTCACCCGAGCGCCATCGCCGCCGTCCCCCGTCGTCACTGCGGCCACCGTCGACCTCGAGCTTAGGCTGCACGTCCACGAGCTCCGCCGGGGTCGACTCCTTCGAGCGGTGGCCTCAGCTGGGGCTCGGAGGCGCTGCAGCACCGGATCCCCTTCGTCCTCTTCTCCGGCCGCCGCGGAACTCCGTCGACCTCCCCCGACTGCTTCTGCTACTAAACTGAGCACCGGCCTTCGTGAGCCCCTACGTGAGCGTCTCTCCCTCTCCTCTTCCCCCTCTGTTTGCGAGCTGCTGCCCCGTAGCTACCCGGCACCGACGCCACGCGCTGCCGTCCGCCATTGCCGGCGTGCAGCTCGAAGCGCAGCCGCCCGAGCCCTTCCGTCTTGACCGTCATGCTTCTGGCGCGCCCAGGAAACCGCCCAGCCACCTAGCTCTCTCAAAACACCCCAGGAGCCGCGTTCTGTTCACACCCAAGGACCGCCGCTGCAAACCTCGTCGTCGGCGCCGTTTCCGGCCAAGTCCGGCTGTGCCTCTGCCACCGTTCGACGCGGCATCGTTCGCCCGTTCGAACGCACCCTCGCGCGCGCGAAACGACCCCCTGTGGACGAATCCCGCCGCCCTCCCGTTCGCTCGGCCGTCGGAATGGTCGCCGGAGTTAGCTCTGGCGCGTCTCCGGCCGGTGCCGAGCTAGCACCCACGTGGCACCGCCCCGTGCCACTGACTGGTGGCCCCCAGTGGACCCGCTGACCCCGTTGACTGGTTTGACTAGTCAACCGTGCTAACGGGGCAGCCCCGAGGCACTGACATGTGGGCCCCCCTCTGTTATATTAGTCTAATAACGTTTTATAAATAAAAATGATTAGTTAACCTAAAACACTCGCTGACGCCCAGGGCCCACGCCCCTAATTAACCCTGTTAGTTTAGTTAATCCACTATTAAGCCAGCAGAGGCTGACATGTGGGTCCCAGTGGCCCCATTGGTCAGCTTTGACCAGTCAACCGGTCTGTTGACTTGCTGATGTCAGCATGGCGTCATGCTGACGTCGTATTCCTTTTCTGTTAATTTAAATAATTTCTGAATATTAATAAAACTTTAAAAATTCATAGAAAATAAACCGTAGCTCGGATAAAAATGTTTTCTATATGAAAGTTGCTCAGAAAAATCCAACGAATCCGAATACGTGGTCCGTTCATCCGTCACATGCCCCTAGCATGCTGAACATGGAACTTTCCCCCTCTTTTCCTTTGTCCGGAATCCACCTAACATCGGGAATTCACCCTCGGATGTTTCCCCCCTTCGTCTGCAACGTGTAGTACCGCGTTAGAGCACGCTTAGCGCTACGTATCGTCATGTCATGCTTAGTGTTACCTCTGTTTGCTATGTATTTACTGTTTCTTCCCCCTCTTCTCTCCGGTAGACCCCAAGACCGATGCCGCCCCTGTGATCGACTACGTCGACGACGACCCCTCCTTGCCAGAGCAACCAGGCAAGCCCCCCCTTTGATCATCCCGATATCGCCCATTCCTTTCTCTCATGCTTGCATTAGATTTTGCTACTGTTATTGTATGCTCCTATTCTGATGCATAGCCTGCTTTTGTATCTGTTGTTGTACCTTACCTGCTTATCCTAAACTGCTTAGTATAGGTTGGTTAGTGATCCATCAGTGGCCCCCACCTTGTCCTTGTTGCCCCTGCTTCATCATTGAAGACCCGATCAACGGGATTGAAGACCAGGCCCCGGCACCGCACATCACTTTCCCCTTAGTTGCTCGACACTGCTGGGTTACTATCGAGTGCCGAGGGTGAGACCTCTACAGCACTTCTGATGTTAACCCTGTGGTGTAGCTATTCGGTCGTGGTCATCGAGGGTGATTCCGCCTTAACCACTTCCGATACGACTCTGTCGTGCAACCCCTCAAGTGTGAACCTCGGGGGTGATTCCTCTTACGTTCACCTTGATGATTAAATCGAGTGAAATTCACCGGGGGTGATTCCTCGGGTTTTCCCCTTGATGTTTGGACACACGGTTACTATGGTTACTATGACTTTACACTGAACCATGTTACTAAAGACGGGTCGACCCTGAGGGGTGCCCGCGCGAGCATAATTGCGAGTGATGAGGAGTCGGGTTGACCTGGAAGGTGCCCGCGAGATAATTACGAGGCGTGGCCGGGCATTCTTGGTCCTTGCCGCAAGTCCTCGAGACGGGGCAACGGGGTCACATCTTTCGTGAGTCTCTGCTTGTTACCGCGCGTTCCTAATCCACTATGATTTGGATATTTGATCCGAGGGGCCTCTGGCCTGATAGCACTAACCATCACGTGGGCATAGTATGGGCGTTCTGCGTCGTATACATCAGCTGAAGCTTAATAGACGTCAGCGACTGAGTGGCGCGCGCCGGGTTAGACTACGTAAGCGCCTGCCTTGTTGAAGGAGGTAGCCAGGTCTGCTCACCGGCCGCGTACGCAACGTGCAGGAGTTTCCGAGGAGATGGCCCATGACCCCTGGGGGCATAGGTTTAGTCCGGCGTGCTGGCCTCTCTATTAAGTCTAGGTCGGGTTGCGGCGTATTGTTTGGCCGAGGCCGGGCATGACCCAGGAAAGTGTGTCCGGCCGGAGTCAATCGAGCGTGGTGGGTAAGTTGGTGCACCCCTGCAGGGAAGAAAACATCTATCGATAGCCTGTCCTACGGTAACGGACACTTGGAGTTGTATCCCGATCGATACAACTAGAACTGGATACTTGTGATGAGAACTGGATGGTGATGAGGTTTTGATTGTGATGATAACTGGATAGTATGGCTCTGGGATTGCTTTCTCGCAGGGAGTCGAGAAAGGATCTCTGGCCGAGGTTGATAACACTACTACCACTTTACTTTATGCTACTCCACTCCCTCCTGTTGCTGCAAGATGGTGGGTTCGAGAAGATGCTAGTCTTCGATAGGACTAGGCCTTCTCTCTATTCTGGCATTTCTGCAGCCCAGTCCACATATATAGCCTTCCTTTGAAAATGTTGCATCTGTAGTGTAGATCCTTGCTTGCGAGTACTTTGGATGAGTACTCACGGTTGCTTTGCTCCTTCTTTTTCCCCTTTTCCATTCTTCTCGGATGACGCAACCAGATGACGGAGTCCAGGAGCCAGATGACACCTTTGACGACTTCTACTACACCGAGGGCGTCTACTACCACGTGGCGGAGACCGCCGATGACCAGGAGTAGTTAGGAGGCTCCCAGGCAGGAGGCCTTGCCTTTTCGATCATAGATGCTTTTGTGCTAGCCTTCTTAAGGCAAACTTGTCTAACTTATGTCTGTACTCAGATATTGTTGCTTCCGCTGACTCGTTTGTATTCAAGCTGATGTATTCGAGCCCTCGAGGCCCCTGGCTTGTAATATAAAGCTTGTATTATTTTAATTTGTGTCTAGAGTTGTGTTGTGATATCTTCCCGTGAGTCCTTGATCTTGATCGTACACATTTGCGTGTATGATTAGTGTACGATTGAATCGAGGGCGTAACAAGGACCCTGCCGGCGCTGATCCTCCACGCCCCAGGCACCCGCATGTCCGGCGGGACCGGATACTCGGCCTCATAGAGAAGCCGAGTTTCGTCCTCGTGAAGGTGGCTGCGGCCGAAGTAGTTCGCTGCCGCGCCATCGCCTGGAAAGCGCTCGGCCATTGGGTGAACTGGAAACGGCGAGAAGAGAGGGAGGAACGGGGGCGTCGAGGAACGGGAGCGTCGGCGGTGGAGAGTCTGTGCGTCACCGGTGCGGGAGGGGTCGGCTTATATAGGCGGCGCTCGCGTGGCCGCCGTGTGTACGCGTGGCGGGCGAGGGACGTGTGTCATCCCGTCTTCACTGCGCCGTCCGTGAGGCATCAATGGAAGAGGCTGACCGGCGCGGCAGCGCGCGGCAGCTTTGGCATTGATTCCGCCACGGGAACCGAGGCGATGAAGATGACGAAGCGACGAGAAGAGTCGAGTCGCTGCCAAGGAGGGCCCGGCGATTTTCGCGCGAAAAACGGTTCGGCCGGCGCCCCAAGCATCCCCCAGCGCGCCGGGTTCGGCCTGCGTCCACCGACGCCAATTTCAGCCCAATCCAGCAAAAAAAAGGCCTTTAAGGACACGACTGAACCGATTTTTCGACACCGACGACCGAAAAATCACCTGGAGGGCCTTGTTGAGGACGCGGCTGGAGATGCTCTTACCCGGTTGCCACCGTATGTACCAACATGCGACAGCAATCGATTCCTGAAGACCAAGACATCTCAAACAGGAATAGTGGCTGGATTTATAACTGGATAGTGAATAGTGCCCGAACGATCACAGCCGTCGAGCGATGCTAACAGCTGATGGAGCGATGACGGCCGTCCGATAGCCGCGAAGCGTTAACTGACCTGCGTCATGTACTGACACCAATGCACCGCCGCCGCGAGCTACCGGCAGAGAAAGCAGCCCAAACGAAAGCGAGCTGCTTGACTGCCGGCGTGGCGCGGCGGTGCTCGTTACTCGTTTGCGTCTCCACCATTGCTTAGGATGAACTTGGCGATAAGGAAGGTATAACAGCACTGCGCAAAAGGCGAGATTCCCTGCCTCCCCGGCCATGCCAGTATGCCACACCCCTCTCGGTGTCCGCCCCCGGTGGGCTTGGAATCTCCCGTCCCTTTCGCTCTATACAAGCCCCACTTCCTCCTCCCCTGCCCCAGTCCCAGTCCCAGTCCACGCGCACACCATCTGTTCGACGTATTGCCGGCATGGGGCTCCCCCACGCCGGCGTCCTGATCTTTGGTCTTCTGTCCGTGTTCCAACTGTCGCATTCGTCATCAGGTCAGAATTGCTCAGTCGGAACTGCTTAAAAGGATGCGGTTGTTCTTGCCGTCTTGGTGGTTGCTTAGGTTGTGCTTTGTCTTTGCAGACAAGGACGACTTCACCAAGGTCAGGGCGGTGAACCTGGGAGGCTGGCTGGTGGTGGAGGGGTGGATCAAGCCTTCCTTGTTTGATGGCATCCCAAATGGGGACATGCTGGTAGGTCCTCTCTCTTGTTCTCGGACCCCCATGCTTGTTATATAGTGCTGTGCATTTTTCTTTGCCCCCTCGTGATGTGGCTATCGGATTCGCTTCAGGATGGCGTGCAGGTGCAGCTCAAGTCTGTTGCTCTCCAGAAGTACGTGAGTGCAGTTGGTGGTGGCGGTGGAAATGTGGCCGTGGACCAGGATGCTGCTTCGACATGGGAGACTTTCAAGGTAAACTGCCAAAGGGAAGTGGTTTCTTGCAGAATGAAAGTGAATTGATGATACACACGTTTGGTGCCTGTTTGGGAAGCTGAATGGTTCTGTATCTTGTCTGTTGGATATCTTGGAGAAAACAACATTGAATAGATGCATTCGCCTCAACATTTAGGCCGTCATTGTTTTTTCAAGCACTCCATTTTGTTCTTCTCTAAAGAACTGAGATGAAAATGCGATACAGAGTAGCATTTTCTTCAACCTTCAAAGACAATATTCTGGTTCCTGAAGATCATCAGGTCTTCAACTCACCAACGCGACTCAGGAAGACCTAGTTAATTTAGAACTGTCACGAAGTTTAAGGACCCGTGTAGTACCCGAGGGCTTAAGGGGAAAACTGAACTGTTTTTACACAGGTCAGGGGAAAAAAATACTGCTTGGTAATATGCAGATGGCTGAATTGTACTATGTACTCCCTCCGTCCGGAAAAGGTTGTCTCTCAAATGGATGTATCTAGCACCAGGTTAGTGCTAGATACATACATTTGAGGGATAAACTTGGGACAAGCTTTTTCGGACGGAGGGAGTATGTGTGTGTTTCCCAGTGGAAGAAGGTGCACTTCTAGTAAACTGCACGAGTTCACTATTTTTACATTTGTCCTCTAGAGCTGTCATCCATCTTAGTGAGAAATAAATATATCTTACTTGAGGGAAAATAAATATATACTCAAATAAAACAATCATATCTTAGTTTGTTCCTAATTGCATTTGTCTTGGCGTTGTTTTCAGCTGTGGAGAGTTTCTGATAGTGAATTTCAGTTCCGATGCCTCAATGGTCAGTTCTTGACAGCAAGTAATCAGGATGTGATCTCAGCAACTACAGATTCACCAGGAGACTCCGAAACATTTTATATCGAACGGAATAATTCAATGCTTCATATCAAGCTTTCAAATGGGAGCTATTTGCAGGTATTGATTATGCTGTCGATATGATCTTCAGATTTCAGCAGTTATGTACACTCATCAGACTCCTTTCTATGGAAATGAAACTAATTAGCTAAAGCTTCAGCATTGCAACCAGGAAAGTTGATGTATACTCCATTATTCAGGTCACAAATAACAATCAGCTTACTTCAAATTATCATTCCCAGCCTGGATGGGGTGATGATATGGCAACATTCCAGATGACAATAGCTGCCAACAACTTGCATGGAGATTACCAGCTTGCTAATGGGTATGGACCTGTGCAGGCAAAAGCGGTCTTGACTGTAAGTTTCATAATTTCAGAGCTGTGTCACCTCCTCCCAGTCTGTAGTGCAGAGCTTTATTCCATAAAAGCGTTTATTGGCTATTTTACACAATTTGCAGGAACACCGAAAGAGCTTTGTTACTGGAAATGATTTCTTTCTCCTCTCGCAAAACAGTATAAATGCAGTCAGGATTCCAGTTGGATGGTGGATTGCGTATGATCCTGATCCACCCGCTCCATTTATTGGTGGCTCCCTTGAGTACCTTGATAGAGCATTCTACTGGGCACAGTAGGTCTAGCCTCTAAACAGTTCTTGATTGTTACTCCCACAAAAAAATCTTTAAAGTTTGAGACTGCACCATATGGTGGATCTGATTTTGAGATCAGGGTTTATGGCTTGAAGTGCATCATCGATCTTCATGCGGCTCCTGGATCTCAAAACGGAATGGAGCACAGTGCTAGCAGGGATGGTTCAGTAGATTGGCCTTCAGAGGTTAATATACAGAAGACTCTGGATGTCATTAAATTTTTAGCTCAAAGGTAACATTAACTCTTGCACTCTCCCTAAAAAAAATGAAACTCTTTCACTCTATTTCCTAGTTACGAAGTTTTTGCTTTGTGTGGACGAAATATTTCTTGATGATGCCATTGGTAACATCAGGCCACGAAAATAAATAAAGGCATCACCAAGTTGGAAAAAAGACTCAGTTCTCATTCTCCATAGATCTGTGAAGGATTAATTTATCTCATACTTCAAAGATCTTGCAAAAAAAAGGCAGTGGACAATGAGTAGCAATAGGTATTTGCACATCTTGGCACTTTTTCAACAATATGTACTCTTGGTCACTAGAATAACAAGCGAAAAAAGGCAACTTCAGAACATATGTTAACAACTTTAACAACTAACAATGTCTGATCTGCTCACTAATGAGGGGATACATGAAAGTAAAGAGCCATGTTTTCGATTTTCATTAGCATTTTTTTCTTCATGTGAACAACGCGATTCTATCTATCACAATTTTCTCAGTTCTAACAAAGTAACAAGACGTATTGTCTCTTTATCTGCAGGTATGCAGACGATCCCTCGCTTCTTGGTATCGAGCTTCTGAATGAGCCTTCTGCAGGAGCAGTCCCACTGGATACTCTTGTGGCGTATTACAAAAAAGGCTACAAAATTGTACGAAGTTATTCGGAGACAGCTTATGTTATATTCTGCCAGAGGATAGGGAATGCAGACCCAATGGAGCTTTATCAGGCTGACCTGGGACCAACTAACACTGTTGTTGATTTGCATTACTACAATTTGTTTGATCCTTATTATGAGAAGCTTAACGCAACAGAGAACATACAGTTTGTTTATGAAAAAAGACTGCCTCAAGTGCGGGCCTTGAACGGCGCAAATGGACCTCTTGTTTTTGTCGGTACGTCCTGCATACTATTACAACTTAATGTAAAAATTCACACAGGCATTTGGATTTTGGTCTATCATTTAACTGTAGGTGTTTCTTAGTTTATCCTGCTCTTGATAAAGACTTTTCTATGCCATTACTCAGGAGAGTGGGTGAATGAATGGAATGTGGCAAATGCTTCACAAATTCAATACCGATCTTTTGGAAAAGCTCAATTGGAGGTCTTTGGAGAAGCCTCCTTTGGCTGGTCTTATTGGACAGTCAGGTGCAACAGTGTGCACTGGGATTATGAATGGAACGTAAGGAATCGGTATCTTATTATTGGTAAGCAGTTTGTTCTTCAGCTGCCTTCAACCTCCAGTCACTTAAACACAATCCACACTGGGCCTGGAATGACCCGGCGGAGGGGAGTTTGAGGGTTAAGAGCATCTCCAGCCGTTGAGCCCCCAAGACGCGCCGAAAATCGCCGCTGGGGCGAGCCGGCGTTTTTTTCGGCGTGGGGGCGAGCACGTCCCCAGCCGTCACCCCCAGGTCGGGCCCCAGACGTCCCCACAGTTCGGCCAAATTTCAGCAAACACGGCCAAATTTCAACAAACACGACATATTTCGGCGAAATTTAGACGTTTTTTACATGAATAAAATGGACGGAAAAAACCCTAAACTACGGGCCGAAGTAGGCACTGAGCAGGGCATAGTCGTCGTCGGCGTCATCCTCCTGCTTCTCCTCCTTGACACGGCCGGCGCCGCTGCTCGACCCCTCGCCCCGGCGCGCTGCTTCACGGCGGCGGCGTTCGGCAATCTCCTCCAGAGCGCGGCGCTGGCGGTCCAGCTCCATGCGCGCGTAGTCCTCGCGCGCCCACTTCAAGGCGGCCTCTTCTTCGTCGGCCTCCTCGGCGAGAGCAGGCTCCGGCTTCACGGCGGCGAGCCCCGGCTCCGGCTTCACCGTCGCCAGCCTTGGCTCCCTCTTCGGCTTGACCAGGCGAGGAGGGGCCGAGGAGGAGGAGCCACGACCGCCGTCGTTGATGACGAGGCCGGCGCCGCGGGTGCGCCTACCGAGCGGCATCTCGGACGGCTCTGGCTTGACGCTGACCAACGTTGGCGCGCCGGAGGAGTGAGAGGAGGATCGGGAGGAGGAGGAAGAGGAGGATGACCATCCCATCCTCCTCCTCGACAGCCACGCGCCGCCGCTCCGAGCGGTCGGGTACTCGAACGGCGGGTCGTTGCCGCCCTTGAGGTGCGCGAGGACGCCGCTGAGCGTGCGGCCCGGGACGCCCCACCACAGGCGGCGGCCCTCGCTGTTGTTGCGGTCGCGCGGCGTCGGCGCGTTGTTGGTGCAGCCTTGGCACTGATTCCCCGTGGGAAAACCGAGACGATGAGGACGAC